CCCGCCGCCGGCGCTGCCTTTGGGCCCGGCGGGGTTTTAGGCGTGAGCTGCTGCTCGAGCTGCTCCCTGCCGCGTCCCGGCCGGTTATCAGTCCCTCGGCGGCCTCCAGCGTCCGATGGCGGCGGAGCTGGGATCCGCGGGCTGCGCTGGGAAGGGCCTGGAAAGCTGCAAGGGTAGCACCGGATCCGGGGTCCCCGCTGCGCTGGAGCGTTGCCGCCCCCGCTTCCCCGGGCAGCGCATCCTCCACCGGAGCCCCCGGCCGCTCCCGCCAGCAGCTCCTCCGGGACACGCGCACGGATCACACTGAGGGCCGGGAAGGGAATCCGGAGCGGAACACTTGCCCTGCTGAGGCTTTGATTACTCCCTGCCTGTGTATTTACTGCTCTTGCTTTTATGTAATGCTTGGCTTTCTATTTCTTCCCCATACTGTGTATTTTCCTCTAAGTGAATCAAGTGAAGAATGTAGCCCATTAGGGCAGCATACAAGATCCTGTTTTTAGGGAATTTGGCTGGAAGGACACCTGGGGGGCTGGTGTTCCTGGTTAATTCCCTTAAATGTATTTGCTGGTGTCTGGGTGTTATAGTGGCCTGCTGCGGATGGGAGACCGGCTGCAAACTTGCCTTGCAGTTGGGGTTGGCTTAATCTGGACAGCGACTCTCCTGTTTGTCTTGTTCACTTCCAGTGTTTAATGTATAACACAGGGAGGCATCTGGAAAAGCCTATTCTTGTCTGGAAAGCCATGGAAACGGGAGTTTTTCCGCAGGTCAATCCGTTCTGTCCTGGGGTCCTCTGCTCTCCAGCCACATCCCTGCTTTCATGCTGGCCTAACTGGGCTCCAGCGCTTTGGATGTGGAGTGCCAAGATGGGTCATTAGCAGTGATTTGCTAATACCAGTGTTAATTGTGGGAAATATCTGAATAAAAAAGACATCTTGGTTGTTCATGGAGCTGCCTACTGCTCTCCTGGCTTCCTCTGGGAACACGGGGAGGCTCTCGGTCCTCTGCGGTGCCTGTTGAGGGGTCTTTTGCCTGAGCCTTGTTGTTAATGGAGCTGTGCTGCTCTCTCGAGTCCTGCGGCTTTCTAGCGTGCAGCAATGCTCCAATTCTGCTTATGTAAACGCAGTAGGGGATGGTGGAGCTTTCTCCATCCCCCCCGGCTGCTGGTCCCTGCCTGGAGAGCGGCTCCGGGGGACGCCCCGCGCTGCGGTGCAGGGGGAGGCCGAGATCCGCGTCCGCAGGGAGGTCCGTGCCCAGCCCGCGCGCTCGGATCATGAGAACAAAGTATCCCAAAGGCTTCCTGAAGGGGCTGCGAGCCTTTCGCTTGGTTATCTGTCGATTGCTGGTTACTTGAGACTCAAGGGGGAGCGTACTGGCTATTAGTGGAAATGGCAATAAGCGTCAGAGCCTCGTGTGTCCCCTTCCCGAGCTGTGGAACAAAGGTCAGGCCGCGGAGGAGCGCGTGCCCCGCGGGAGCCGCCGGTTCTGCCAGGTTTAGCGGATCCCGGATCTGTTTGCGCTCGCCGGGCTCCTCCCTCGGCCCTGGGAGGCTGTTTTTGGTTTGAAGGTGACTCGGGGGCGTTATCTGCTCGTGGCTCTCTGTGCTGCTGCAGTTTGATCGAAAGCTGCCCTGTCCCCAGGAGAGCTGTTCAGCCCCTGTTAGCCCTGTTGGGTGAGGATCTTGCTTTTGCAAGTGGCTTCCATTTACAGCCCTGCACCGACCCTGGGCCTCTGATCCCAGTGGGCTCGTGCTGGCCAGAGTGGCTTGTCCCAGGGCTCCTCAGATGTTTTCCTGAGCCTCCAGTGTCCAGGATTGGCTGCTCAGTCTGGTTTGTGCTGGAAAAGCAGAGAGGGGATTTAATCCCTTGAGAAATGCGAGTGATACTTGCAGGGTTTTGCCACCTGAACTCAAGGGTGCCTAGAGAGTAATGTGGATCTGCTGAGTCTGAGCTGCTCATGAAATGCCCTCCAGTTAGAGCAAGTATCTCTGAAAGATCTCGTTTTGTCAGTGTACCATAATCGGCTTGTGTCTGTAAAAGAAACCTTGACCATTAGCAGCTCCTGATTTAAAGGAGGCTGCAGTTAAAACGGGACAGGCTTTTACAAGTACTGCAGTCAGCTCTGCAATGTTCAAAATTATGCGGTTGGGAGTGTTTAATCACAGGCTTGTGATTTAAAAGCCAAGCTGGCACGCAAAATTGTCAGGAGACTTGCCCACCACAAGACAAACAGCTTGTCCCCCACCAATGTGCGAGTTTAACCTTGGTGAGCCGTTTAACTTGTTTTCTAACTACTCAAGATTCATGAGACAGTTGCAGTTATTAATGCTCCTGTATTTCTTTTGGAAGGCCTAGTGATTTGGGGGCCTTCAGAAAAGGAAGAGATCCCCCCAACTCCTCTCCTGCTTGTATGGCATGGTATGTGTGTGCAGGGTCCCTGTATAATTACAGGCTTTCTTTGGAACTTAGTAATAAATTAATTCCCTGGAATGGCTCTTGGTACGGTCGGTACTTGTTGGCTCTGCTGTTAGTGTGAGTAATGCAGGCTGAAATCAGTGTGCAGGAAGTAGGTGTTGCAAAATTAACAAGTTCTGCTTGAATCTTACTGAAACAGAGTCACGTAAGTAACCTTGACTCAAATATGATGCCTTTTCCTGAAATGCTAGAGATTTCCCTCCAGCTCCCCACTTTTTTTTTTAAAAAAAAAAAGAAAACCAACCCTCCTGGGGCCTCTCCTTGGCCCATGTGTCTTGCAAGATTGTCTGAATCGTGACATCTGGGAGC